AGACATGTTGCAATGTACCTCGACAGCAGGTGAGATTTGAAATTGTACCTTCTGGCTAGAAGTAAGAACATTACCATATGCCACAGAGGCCAAACGAATTTTGAGATGGCTTTTAACAATTGATTCATGACCTTCGTCAGAATTTCAGACTCAAATGACAAATTGTAGCATGGATAAATAATAACTAGCTACAAAAGATAAAACAGATAAATTATGCTTGTTACACAAGGATCAGTGCTGAGACACTTCTTGTTTGTCAATGACATAATTTATGTAGACTTGGGAATGAGGATTAGAATTTCAGAATCTGTAGATTATATCAAATTAGAAGCATTGTTAATACTAATAAACAACATTAATAAACTTGATAAATGTGTGGACAAGATTAAAATGGTACATTTTAATAGAAAGAATAAAGAGGTCAACTGCTCCTTGGAAAATTAGAATCTAAGTCCACTAAAGTAGCAAAGGGCTCTGGGGAGACAGGTTTTCAAAAACTATTGAAGTAGCAGTACCAGTTAACAGGGCCATAGATAGCAAAGCATTGAGGTCCATTTCTGGAAACAGAAGAAAGACAGAGAGAGAGAAGAAACACAGAGAGGGAGAGATGAAAGGAAAAGATAAAGAGAGAAAAGGAAAGAAAAGAGAGAGAAAAGAGAGACAGAAAGAGAAAAGAGAGGAAAAAACAAGGAAGTTATATTAATCTTGTATAAAGACCTTGGTATGAACCGTGCTGCTTCACATTTTATAAAATAAAATGGGGAGAGCAAAACTGATTGATAAAAATGATACCAAGCTGGGAGGTTATATCTTTCACAAAACATTGTATAAGTTGACGCTCTTTTCTTTAGAAAGGAAAAGGCTGAGAGTCTTTTGATAACGTCTAACATTGTGAAAGGGTTTGAAAAGATAGGAATAGAGATGTGACTGCTTGTGAGAAATGCAACAAAACCGAAAATATACGATGGGCATTAAAAATCCAATAGAAATTCAGGAGGAATTTCTCTTTACTATGCTTCTTTGAAAGTGGACTTGCCATCACATGGAAAAATTTAGTTAAATTACAGAAGTATTTAAGGAGGAGCTAGATAAAACACAAGGGGAAATGATTGAGATAATTATGTTAATAGAGTTAGATAGAGTAGGTGAAAGGAACCTCATGTGGAGCACAATCACTGGCATGGAGTACTTGGGCTGAACAGTCGGCTTCCCTGCCGTAAAATCTGGGTAAAAATTGGAATCTGACAACCACAATAAAGCTTTCATGCCAAGTTTCCTACTGTTCTAGCCTAGAAATAACATTTTAACTAGCAGGTAACTTAAATAAAATAAACTCACCAATGAAATTAGGTAGAAGGACTTATACTGATTCATCAATAAAAGCATTAGACAACTAAATAAAAAACTTCATAGACTGAGTCAGAATTTTGAATGGAATATGATCTAGTTATTAATTCAATAGTGCAAAAGAGTGTCCTAGCAGTAAAATGAGCATGGTTAAATCCTTGACATAAGCATAGTTTTAAGATTTCTATTTGGACCTTAACAGAAACTGAACGTGTTGGTTGAAGATTCCAAGGTTTGTTTCATTTCACATTTTTGCCGAAAGAATTAAGTTGCCAGAAATGACCCCAACAATGCGCGCTGTAGGTAGGAGGGAGTGGGAAAACATGAGAAGAACATATTTTCATATCTACCAGCTTTATCACATCTTTATGTGGGAATAGGTATTAGAACAAGAAAATAAACTATGGCAGTTTGCATCCTTACCAAGATGTTTCTGAGAAAACAGTTGGGTCAAAAGGAAAAAGAAAGCAAACATATGTTTAGCATTACCACAAGTCTGTCACCTTGAAGTAAATTTAAAGAGTGTTGTCCACAATTAAAGCATGCCTAATGTTAATAAGAACTGTGACAGATGAAGAAAATTGCCTGCAAAATAACAAGAATCAACTGATTGAATTATTTATATAGACCCAAACAACACAACATTTGGTAAGCAAAAGACTGGCCCACCTTGAGAACAGAAAGGCAACAGCACTTCATTGAATTTTACATGATTATATATTAATACCTTTCACAAGTTTTACAACCCACTTACCAATAAAAGTCCTATTTTAACAAATGGCATTTGAAGAACGTGCAAAGAACAAAGAACAATACAGCACAGGAACAGGGCTTTCAGCCCTCCAAGCCTGCGCTGACACATTTTGTCCTTCCATACTAAAACTGTCTTCACTTACAGGATCCGTATCCCTCTATGCCCCTTCCTATTCATGTGTTCGTCCAGGTGTTTCTTGAAAGCTGCTGCTGTGTCTCTTTCCACCACCTCCTCTGGCAGCGCATTCCAAGTGCCCAGCACCCTTTCTGTGAAAAACTTGTATGTAGTTCACATGTATCCCCCTACACTGGCTGGCAACAGGGCAACTCAGCCCAATGTCTAAATCTTAGACTAAGGTTAATCTACAATGTTATACTTGATTCTTCAAAATGTTTGTGCAGAATATACACTGCAGATTACTTACCGAATCATCAGTATATAATGAGCAAACAATTCTTGCAGAAGCATATCAACAAGCTTTAGAACAGTTACAACCCAACTGTGAGTATACAGTATCTGATATCAATTTAGCTAGTTCATACCATCAAGATGAAAATCTACTCCAGAAGGTATTACTGTCAATGAGGTGTATAATGGTTACCATCCATTACAAATATTTATGAGATTAAAGGTTATGAGGACCAGATGAATGTTGTTTCCCAGCTCCAAACATATCACCTCAAGGTTCCTCAGATGTTCACATAACCTTTCTACTACAACATAAGTTTAAGAGGAAAAGCACAAAAATAAATCAGGAAAGATCTTAAAAGTTGATATATTCATACAACTCTTTGATGTTAGGAGAAACAAGCACAATAGGGCCCAAAGGTTCTTCTCCCATTGCTATTTGACAAATCCTGAAGACATTTCATCAAATGTTAAAATGAAAATGTCTGAAGTTACATTGTTAAGTAGAAAGTGGCAAAACTATCTGATTTGTACATTGTATTCCATCAACAAATATGATGTTCTGAAGCTATTTAATACCTCAGCATCATCTGTCTTAATTTGACAAGCTTGAGCTAATTATCACAATGCAAGTATATCTACTTCACTTTTAAAAAGTGTCTAATAATTATCTGATCACTGAATAAAGATTTCTATGGATCTCCTTTAAGTCACATCAAACCTGATATAAATTCTTAAGCTGTAAAACTACACAAGAGTATGTGGAAGTAAGTCTTTGAGGTGTACAATAGCATATTATTACTAACACCAGGAAACTTGACAACTAACAATAGAAAATTTGACTCTACATCAACCAGTCACAATGACACCTTGAACAGAAAAATGTGAACTTTAGTGTACTAAGGACTACATTTATAGACTACATAGTATCATACAGATGTATCAACATAAACAGTTAATGATTGCATATACTTCACATTCATTGGCTAAGCACAAGCAGCATTCATACATACCACTGTAATCCAAAATGAAGTCAGTATCACTCACATCAATAGATTTTCGACTTCCAGGTTTTCTTTAAACACAAGAAAAATGTTATAGCTGAGCTATTAGAAAAAGAGATGGCCTGCATGGCAAGCATGCATTTAATAGTTGAATAATAACCTAATGCAACCAAGAGGTTTATCTAAATACAAAAGATCACAGAAAACTTGAGTTTCCCATGATAAAAGTTAGGAAACTACATTCTGGCAGTTTTCATAACACTCACATATTTCCAGCATGTTATAACCCAAAATGGGTCAGCTGAACAATGTGGTAAGTTTTAGAGGTGATTTATGTACTGTATGACAAAATAAAGCATCCCTCTAAGTTGTTAATACCGTTCACTGAGTGCCATGGGTACCTAGTATGATGATAACGTTAAGTGCAATCGGTTGGCTTTTAAAGCCAACCTTAGATTGACCTAAATGGTTACCTCTAAGTGTTTCTGCTCCATTTTGTTATTTTATGTGCCAAAACGACTCCCTAAAAAGTAACACAAAAGAACATTTTGTAAAAAAAAATGTTAAGATAAGCTTCACACACATAACGAAGAGTGCGAGCTAAAATAAATCTTGCTCCCAAAGAACGATCATAAATGTACACGTGAAAGAGGAGGAGACTGGTAAAAATACAAGGCATCGCTCTCATAGATCAAAACTGCAAACTGTCCGAATGCAACCTGTCTCTTACCATGTAAGAGGCTGCAACGAAACATCCCAAAAATGCCTTTATGATGTCGAATTACACCGCACTAAACTAAACCAACAAAGCAGAATTGCAGCAAGCTTCCTCCAGCCTTTGTCCAATAGCTGGTGACTGTTTTGCCGACCACCAATTGCTAATTACCTCCGGCCACTGATGAGCTATTTGAAATGCTTACGGTCTGTTTAGCGCTCCTGAGCCACCCACCTGCATAATGACAAACAACGGATACAAACACCGGATGCAGTTTGTTGTCAAGCTAATTCAGAAACCTCGCGGGCTGCAGCTCACACGGCGTTCTTACAAAAAGGTATCAAAAACCATGCGTCATTCACTACAAAACTTATCACATCGAAAAGTAGCCTTTCTTTAAAATGCTAAGGCAGAAAATACAGGTAGGTATTTGTGCACACTTTTCCAAACCAATCATTCATATGAAGTCTTCCACAGCATCAGATCTCAAGATCGTAAAGGCAGGGACCAAAATACACAAAGGAAATAGTGCTGAAGTTTTGATGTAGTCATTAAAATGACATTATCCAAACACGCAGAATTGATATCGAAAACGTCCGCAAACACAAAGCTCCTTATCACAGCCCTAATAATCATTTCATCCTGGATCAATGTGGGTTACAATGGAGGTTACAATAACCTGCAAACACTTCAACATGCAATTCCAACTGTCATAACGCAATAAAGAAATTCCATCCGTATTAGCAAAATATGAGGGGGAAAAATAACTTACCGCAGTCCTCACACAAGATCCTCCCAATATCTTTTTTCAGATTCTTTCCGCCTGTGTCTAGTGGAGCAAATGATGTCTTGAATACTAACGGCTCATCTGTTGGCTCCATGAAAAAGATATATTTCTGGTTCTTCTTTACTTGGATGCATGGTGTTTCTGATGCAAAGTCCCCGATCGTGACAAGCTGATCCCTCGCTAGACCCCCGCTATGAACTGGCCACACGTCCAACACTTTGACATTAACACTGTGAGGCTCGGTGGTATGATTTGGGACTGACTGCACTTTGCCTTCGATCACCACCGCTGAACGATAGGCTTGGTCCTGCAAAGAATTTAAGCTCGGGGAATAGCAGGCAAACGACACCCCGGCGACCAGCATGGCAAAATGGACAGCACCAAGCCTCATGGTTGAAAGGCACGGCCGCGCTCGGCTGCACTGAGGTGTAGAGCGGTGATGAGTTGGAAGGCAGAGTTGTGACAAAGTGGACTGCAAATCGCCTCGAGTTGCACGGCTGAGCAAGAGACCTTGCGTAAGTGTCCATGGCATTTGGCTGTTTGCATGGGGAAACACCGCTCGGAAGCGGAAACGGCGTAATACAGTACTGCTGCCTAAACCTGTCACTGCAACGACTGGCAAATATCAACAAAATCCACTTTATTTATTAAATGAACACAAAGCACTTACCGTCATTCGGTAACAGCGGCGGCTCCATCGCATTATGTGTCATCCAACAGGCGCAGTCTTCTGCATCCCACTGAGATTCCAAACACCTAACACATCGCCTTATGCTTTCCAGTTCTATTAACGAAGTTCATACGATGTTAATAATGCTGTCGCTATAGTAACTAAACTGAAAACTAGTTGCCGAGACCAGCAGCTTGTATGTTCCACAAACCTATCCCTCCATTCAGTGGCAACCAATGGTTCCTGTGTACATTACATTGGGGTTTTGCAGTCGAGAGCTCGCCCTGCAGCTCTGCATAGACACATTTCATTTCCCACGAAGGTAGCCTGATTCAAAGGCTTTGCATAGAAACAGTTAACTGATCATTCTCTGGAAGGCAGAGGCATGAAAAAACAAGCGTTTAATAATTTGAGCGCGGGTCCCAACAAGGGCCAGTACCTCCTCACATTAAGTGAGTCTTTATTCTCACATATGTATATATATTTTTCTCTCTCTCTCGCTTTGATCTATTCACAACTTGGCTGCATTCCGATCACATCCACTTTGTGCTACAGACCGCTGGGTATGAGAATCCTCGCTGCTGCCTGCACACCTACTCTGAACAGAAACCGCGGTACTAGCGAAAGAAAACAACCTGAACAGGAATAGGAGGAGCGATAGAAGATGCAACAAAACATCCGCAAACCACAGGTACGGAGTATACTGTCACTGACCACGTGAAAGCACCCTTCTGTACAGGTGTTTGTGACTTTCCATGAACAGTATGCGTGTGTTTGTTCCATCTAAGATCACGCCTGTTTTAATCAGAAGTCGTATTTCTGCATGTACTATTGAGTACCACAGTGTAGTCTGGAGCTGAGGTCTGATACGTTCCACAGCACACGACTGCGGACCACCAGTGAGGTACTCCTCGTCATGTACAGCGACTCCCAGCGTTTAGATTGAAATCGGCGTTTACGGCAAAATATTTCCTGCAAATTCTAAGCAGTCCGAAAAGCCTCTATCACGCCCGCCGAAAACTTCTCAGTGTGTCAGGGCTTGATAAAGAGAGCTCTACTTTGTGTATACCTTCCCTAAAACCAGCTCGTTGACTCTTTGTCTATTGGTGCTTCATCCTTAGACATTTTTTTATTTCCGGAAAGGTTAGCCATCGCCTTCCAATCTCAGATGCAAAGTGAAGAGGCAGTTTCCAATGTCCCTCAGTCAGACCAGGAATTGGAACCTGAGATGTTGGTGCCTTTTCTGCAGCACAGACTAGCTATCTAGACAAGCCACTGAGGCGTCTCCCAAAGAAAGTCTGAGAGAATTTATGAGCACATTTTTCTGTGTGGCATTTCATACTTTTGGTTTTACAGGGATGAGGCAAAGGCGTGGGGCCATTGCAGGTCTAAGATGGTATCTGCAAGAGGGCACCCATATTTCTGACCTGGGCCATGTGGACACCATTCTAAATCAACCATTAGCCCAGGCCCTGCGTGAGTGCACCAGCAGTAAGGTGAGGAGGCAAATTGTGACAGTAGTTAGCGTGTTAACGTGTGTGGATGCCTTTCTGGGCCTCACCAGTGAAGCTAACATTCTTCCCTAACACTGTACCAGGGAATTATCGTACAGTAGCATGGAGGACCCTTCCCTACTCTGACCAGCATGATTTGCATCAACTACTTTTCAACAGTCGCTGCATGATTTCCGCTAGCTGTGGCTGTGTCAGTAGAGGTAAAAACACAAAGTGCTGGAGTTACTCAGTAGATCAGTCAACATTTGTGAAGAAATAGAATTAATGGCTCAGATATTTTGATACCCAGAAAGTTGTTTGAGCAGTGTTGACAGCCCTCTCTGTTGTAACTCATGGGAAATTGAAAATTCTGATGAGCAATTGCCCAGAAACAGAATCCCTTCAAAAAAAAAGCATTAAAGTAGGAAACATCGAAGAGGTCTGACTGGTTCTAGCTACCCAAGAAAAGTTAGGTGATTAAAACCATACTCTAATGCCAGGGTAACAACTAAACTGACCTCTCCCCCACTCATCATTAGGTCAGAAGTCACACGACACCAGGTTAGAGTCCAACAGGTTTATTTTCATCAAAGTAGCAGCACTCCGTAAACTTGTGATTTCAAATAAACCTGTTGGACTATAACCTCGTGTCGTGTGACTTCTCACCTTGTCCACCCCAGTCAAACACTGGCACCCCCACATCACCAGTCATCACTGACACCCCTCAATTACACCCCCTTGACACCTTAACCCCTAAACCTGTGACAATCATCCCAAAACTAGGCTCCTTTCCTGACCTGATTCTACCCCTTCCTGACACAGCCTGACAAAGCCTTTCCGGCAATCCTGACCTCTCCCTGGATCTGACACACACTGCTCACAACTGCTGACCTGACCTGCTGCCCCCAAAAGCATAAGACCCTCAGACCCAACAACCCCTCTCAAATATTGGACCTGACACTCCTCACCCCTGACCAAATCCTGGCCTGACTCAAAACTCCCCCTTCACAACCACACCCCACCATCACCCCCAACTGAGACCCCCCCAACACACACCAAGCTGACTGCTGAAAAAGGGGGCATTTTTAGATGAGGATCTTCTGCACAGCTGAATTGGTGGACCCTGGACAGATTCATAACAGAAAGACCCCATCAAGGAATGACCAGTATATCTAAAGATAAATGGATTATTTTTAATCCAATAAGCATATCTGACTGGACTGTTTAGGCCAATATTGCAGGGTAATGACTGATGAGTATTTCCAGCATTTTCTGATTTTATTTTCACATTTCTAGTAAATCATTTTTAAGTCTGTAGAAGTGTTTAGACCATAAGACAATAAGAAATAGGACCAGGAGTAGCCCATTCAGCCCCTCAAGACTGCTCCTAGTGCTACTCAACGTTACCAATGTTTGCAGGGATTGATGCTGCATATAGTGGATGCTTGAGTTCACTTCAAAGGTTCCCCTCAGATCAGTTGCTCTCAATCATTGGTATTGTAGTTTCCATAGCCCTAGGCCTCAACATGACAGAGAGATTGAAAAGATATGACATTGAACAGGACAAGATGATTGAAGAGGGAGCAGAAGGAGGGGAAGGAGGACACATTGCAGAAGTCCATATCTACCCAGGGTCTTCAGCGAGAATTCTCCTATATCAAACTCAGCAAGGAACAGTCTGTGCAACATTTCTGTTTCATTAAGGAGGCGAGTACTGAATTCTGCCACCTCTGACAGGCAGACATTCAACCTCAAAGAGAGTCTGAGTTCTGAAGAAGAGTCAAACTGGACTCAAAATGTACACACTGTTCCTCTCTCCACAGATGTTGCCAGACCTGCTGAGTTTCTCCACCATTTCTGTTGTTTGTTTTAGGGCATTGCCTGAAGTTATAAAGGTGATAATGGTCACCATGAGCTTCAGTACACTAGGTTCCTCCTAGAGAAAGCAGGCAAAACGAGTGCATGATTTCACCCAGATAGACCCACAGTCCAGGTTTACAAGTATATGAAATATAGGAGAGTAGCTAAAGTAGATGTTGGTCTCTGAGAGACAGAGACAGGAGAAATAAATCAGGGAAATGAGAAAATGGCAGAGTCATTAAGCAACTAATTTATGTCTGTCATTACGGCAGAAGACATAAATTACAGACCAGTAGTAAAAGGTAACCAAGTAGTTAATGATATTAAGGAAGGCAATTAATATCAGCAGAAAAGTAATATTGAAGAAAATTTTTTTTAAAACTAGATAAAGGGGAAACTGTAGCTATAGTGTACTTGGATTTCCAAAAAGGCATATAGTAAGGCATATAATAATTAGAAGATTTACATAAAATAAAGGCTAGATAACATTCAGGGATAATACATCAGTGTGGATAGAGGGACTAGTTTAACAACAAGAAGACAGGGAATGAACAGAGCATTTTCAATCATATGTACTGTGACTAGTGGAGTACTACAAGAATCAATTCTGGGCTCTCATCTATCTACCATCTTCCATTAGTCAGATCAATCAATAGTAATCTGTCCTCATTTGCTGATGATCATAGTCTTCCCCACAGTGCAAAAAAATCATTGACTGCATGCACATCGTTTGCAGGAGCTGCATGTAAATTCAGAGATTAGAGTTCTACAACCACAAAAGAACTCCACTCTTCCAAAGCCTGCCCTTAGCTCATCATCCAGGTCAATGCTTTGTACCCTGGCTGCAGTCATGATGCCTTCATTCTGTGGAAGACCACTGCACTGACAGTAAAGTTGGCTGTTAGGCTATTCACTAACTGCCTTATAGCTCCAGTACACAACCTAGGCATATATGGGCAGCATGCAGAGAACAACAGCAATCCTGCCATATGAAATGTCATTAAGAAGATCACTGGGGTCTTAAGAAACACCTTCACTGCTTGGAAGCCCTGGAGGTTTTTGTCAGATCCAGTCTCATGATATATGTGGTTTGCTGCATCCTGCACAACCTTGACATCATGTACACATAACCCTTGATACGAAGCAAATAGTTAGCTACAGTGGAGCAGGAGGAGGAGGGAAAGAAGAAAGAATAAGAGTGGGCAAAGAAAGGGAGAACCTAACCAACATAATTTTTGTTATTTAGACTGATTGGTTTGTTTATGAACCAAGCTCAATGACACATTCAACACTGGCCACCTTCACTTCTCAACTTAAGTGACAATTACAGTGATCCTTTGATTGCTGTTTACCAATGCTGAAACAGAAACCACTTTAAAGAAACATTCTGAACTAACTTTATCAATCAACCCAACAAATGTTCAACTGAAACATTAAATAAACTGCCTTGTGCATTCCCTAAT